CTCAAATATTATATAAAAATTATAAATTTATTTTTATTCATTTTTGTTAAACAGTTATTAAGAGTTTTAGAATATTTTGAAATTTGTATATAAATCATATACAAAATGAAAACCTTGATTTTTAAACTTTAATAACTTTTTATATAAAATTATGAAAAATCTAAAAAACTTCAACTGAGCTAATAACTATATATAGAATCTATATTCAAAATTTCATTTAATTAGATTCAATATTGATAGAATTGTGAATATTTGAAAATCACTGTTTTTGGTGTGAAAGGGTGGCCCGAAAGTAGGGTAGTTGACTTATGTCCAATGATACCATCCCAACAGTCGAAGGTGGAAAGAGAATAGTAATCTCCCTATCTCAATCCCTCTGCATTCGTCTTTGACACTATCTAGGGCTTTACAGGAGGTAGTGGTAAAGCAGGACGTCATGTAATCCCATACCTACTTGCCAAAGGACATAAAGTTCTAGATCTCGACCTCATCCCATTCCCCGATCCCTCTGTTGACGTCTATACACTCAAAACCGATCTCACAGACTCCGGCCAAGTCTTCAATGCCCTCACCTCTCATTTTAATATGTCCGGATACAATGAAGGACCTGTGCCTGGTCCACCAGATGTAGTTATCCATTTCGCTGGTACACTCCCCATTCTCTACGCTTACCGACACGATGCTAACAAACACCAGCATATGCTCGAAACATGCTCGTACCCGACAGCGAGCTCTTCCAAGCCAATACTCGCAGTACATATAACATAATCGAAGCTGCCAGCAAACTCGGTGTTAAGAAGATCATAATAGCTAGTTCCGAAACTGTTTACGGAGTATGTTTTGCGCAAGGCGACACCGATTATCACTCCTTCCCTCTAGAAGAAGACTAAGACGTTGAACCCGAAGATACATACGCCCTATCCAAAATCTGCGGCGAGAAAACCGCTCGCACATTTACACGACGCTTTAAATCGGATATCTACGCGCTAAGGATCGGAAATGTCATCGAACCACATGAATATGAAAGATATTTCCCAGGTTTCATGAAAGATCCGATGAGTAGGAAACGGAATGCTTGGAGTTACATCGATGCAAGGGATTTGGGACAAATTTGTGATTTGGCGATTAAGAAGGATGGACTGGGTTTTCAAATTTTCAGCGCCACGAATAGTGGTATTACGATACCCGGTGACGAGAAAGCAGAAGACTTAATTGTAGATATAGTTTGAGATCCGAGTCAGGTTTATTCTTCTTGATCAGTATTGCTAATCAATACTGAATCTATTTCTTCTTCATCACTTTCGATCACCATTCTATTACTCCGAGTCGTAGTTCGTTTCGTTTTTGGTTCAGTGATATTTGTATTCTTCTGTTTCCTCTTTAAATTCTTCTTGCTTTCTTTCTTCTCAATCATCGTTGATCTACCAATTATAATAATTAGTATATTGGAACATGACTGAAACATGGTATTTTGTGAACTTACAATATCTGTAATATCTCTTTTTGTTGGTTATTCACTGATTCCAACGCTTTTGCTAACATTTCTGTACGTGCTTGAAGAACATCGAATACAACGCCATGAATTCCGTAGGGAAAACTCGGCCAATTTTCAGATGAGGTTAAATTCTCAACATTATTGACAACAGCCTGAGTACTGATATTAGATTTCGAATAATAATATAAGGACTTGTTTACTTACAGTATCATCATCATCATTATCAGAAACAAAAAGAGAGGTGGGGTCATCATTGAGTACAGAAGCAGGTACCACATGAGCCGGTGGATTTACTTGGTCTTTAATATCCAAAAAACATCAATAAACTATCAAAGAAATGATTCTGGATGGAATATGAAACAGAAATATAGTATTAGGAAGGAAAAATCATTCAATCGATAATATTTACCTCTTAGACGGTCAACTCGGATTTGCTCTTGAACACGCAATTGTTCTTCGGCTTCTTGCTGGTCTCTTTCTTGCTCTCGAAGTCGTTGCGCTTCTAACACCGCCGCTTGGTCTTGGGGAGGAACGGGGGGTTGGGGCCCACGGTTATTGTTAAGTGCGTTAACTAATTGTTGGAGTAACTCTAGAGCCTCGGGGAAGCCTGCATGATCCATGTTGTGAATGAACTGGGCTCCCAAGTCAGTAGAATGTCTTTATGAACCATGATTGAACCATGGCACGATCTCTGTCTCACCTTTGGATATTTCAATATCTTGTGTCTTGGATCTCGGTGATAATGTATAGAATAATGATTTTGTCTGTCTTGAAAATGGATTCTTATCGAAAGATATAAAAGATAGCAATAGTAGAGAATTGCGATACTTATTCGAAGAAGATTAATTTGTTTGAGGTTTGGAGAAAAAAGATAAGAGAATATCTTGAATAATATGAAAAAGTGAGGATGTGATTTGTTAAAATGGAGTGAATCTCGGAGAGGAAGTTAGGAAATACTGAAGTAAGCTAGTTCTAGAGAAGATAGCCAACTACAAAACTTATAAGTTTTGTTGCATATCTGGATTCGGTACTTATAATGATAGTTTGCAAAACTTACAGGTTTTGTTGCATATCTGAGTTCAGAGGTTTTAATGATGGATTTTCAAATATTGGTATTAGAACTTGTAGATGTTAATATATATCTTGATGTTTGAAATATGTAAATAAATGTGGAAAATATGTAGTATTAAATAGAAATATATTTGGTGAACATAAGAAAAGGAAATGAAAGTCTGGAAGTTTGAACATTCTTAGGTATAGTTTGTATAGGAAAATGTATAAGCTTGCAGACAGAAAATTTGAATGAATCAACCTCTTAAAAAATCAAATTCGCTAACAAATTATCCGAATTTGTAATGCTCTTATACATCAATATACTAATAAACAAAATGTTATTATATCAAAACGAGCTTTGAGTCTGGCCGCTCGGGCCGGGCAGCTTGTGGCATTGTAATCATAAATAATATTCTTTTATAGATATTTAGAAATATATCAAAGGTGCAAGCAAAAATCCTTAATTGTGACGGAACAGACGGTTCTCTTCCGTCCACTGGCTCATACTACGTACGTAGCATGATACGACGGCTCTCTTGGACCTTCCTTTCACAGCTTAGAGCCCTAGCTCTATAGCTCTAGACCTAGGCATCGTATGTCTAGGACTCTTTCACTCTTTCGGGCCTAGTCCTTATGGCTCCCAATACCTGTATATATAGTCCTCCGTTTAGCACCCTACATAGCTCTTCACTTGTAGATTCTAAGTACACAATCGGAGTCCTGTTTATACCGTTTTGGTCACATTAATCCTAAGACCCCAATCCATCCTATCCCAGTACAGAAATATCCTTTTACACTCCAAACTATACCTTTACCCTATCTTATCTCCATCAATCAGTTTATATAACGAAGTAATAATACAAATATATTATCAAAATGTTCGCAAACCAACATCTTCTGACCAATTTGTAGATTGGCATTATTAATAATATAGTGACGCCAAATATCGTGGACCTCGTTCGGTCTATAAGGCAGAAAGAGCTGGTCAAGGGTATTCACACTAGTATAATATGTACGAATGAAGTTGCGAATACGATGAACAAGCTGGTTCATCTGTACAGAAGCAAGGAGAACTTCACCTATCCTGTCAAACTCGCGACTGGCCCGGAAGATACACTTGAATCCCAACAATAATACCAGAAGCTGAAATTTATGGATAGATTCCATAGGGAAAGGGCCAAGATCGGAATCAGAATACTCTGATATCCAGTAGCGAATCACTTTTGCTAAGGTCCAATACACTAGTATACGTGTAAATACATATACAGCACTGTTGCAAAGTCAAATGTAGAATCCTATCTGTAAAACCTTGCCTATTATACAAGATTTGTTTAATATTGATGCATACCTTTTCACACTATAGACTACAAACTATAACTCGTATCCGGTGTGTGGATATATCATATTGCCAAATTTGATTTGTATTATTTACAATTATAGACAATATATATATGTAATATGTGATTAATATAGCTTCTTTATATACTTATAAAAATTGTAAACAAAGCGCTACTAAAGAAACCTTGCAAATTGTAAAACAATTGCAATAGAATATAATAATTATCAATTATAATAAAGATCTCGGACTGGAATTCAGGTAGATTTTGTGATAATCAATATAAACTATTGTTCATATCATAAATAGATAAAGATGGCCAATTAGAGACAACTAATTGGAAACGACAACAACAAATTTTGAAGGAGAATTTTCCTTCGAAATACGTCCTTTTATTGATCGATCTAGATCAAAGATATTAAATCAAATTGATTACAACTATCCCCAAGCGATTCTGACTAGTAGTTGTTGTGATACTGACGTCGGTGTCTCAAACACGAAATACATACGAAAAAATGTATAGAATCACCATTACAAAATCATTGTTTTCAATATGGATCACTTTGATTATCTAATAGCTGTTACTCCAAGAATCTCTATAAATACAGCTATAATAGAAGCTTCTTCTGAAACTTCTATAATACCTGATACCTATCCAACTATTATACTTAGAACACCAATACTATCAAGCCCACCTCCGTTTTTTGAAGATATACCATTAGAAAACTCAAGCCCTATATTACCAATCAACCAATTAATCAATTCGACTTTAAGATCTCAAAGGATCAGCCTTCTCAGTAATCCTTTTATTACTCAATTCATTACTGGAACAAACTATCCTATCAATCTAAATAGGAAACGTAGTTCTTTAATACTTTTAAACAATCTCAATAAACAACCCAAAATTCAAAACAAACCAATTATATCAAAAGAAACAATTCTAAAAGCAAGAGATCTTATAATACTAGCTTCTACTCTCATTAAATCATATAACAAATAATCAAAATTGTTAGATTTCCTTGAGATCTTCCGAGAATATATCGAAAAAGGAAAGCTCACTACAGTTTCTAATATCATTACTTCCCAAATCATTCATTTAGAATCGGCTATACAAAAAATTGAAGCTCAAGCAAAAGCCTTGATCAAAAGCCCTTCTTCAATTATTACAATTCCAATCAAAACTATCAAATCAATATACATAGTAATAACAAAAGAAGGAGAATAGAATCTAATAACCAAAGGAAAACCTATTAAACCTATTCCTATAGAGAATAAGACTAAGATTACTCAAAAACGTCTTATTCTAATCAAACCTGATATCCCAAATATCAACTCCTTCTCATCTTTGATAATACGAAATCAAATCAATAAAGTATTTCAAAAAGTGGGGATTAAAGGTCCTGTTGTAGCAGCAGTAATATTATCATTCAATAATAATATAATAATTACTACAAACGATCTATTCACATCACAACTTCTATTAGAAAAGAAAACAATCTGGAACAATATCATCAAATTCGAAAGAATTCAAAAATGATCAAAAAGTGGTATAAAATCATTATTCACAGAATTCCTATAAAGGAATTCTCAGGAATAAATAGAATAGATTTCATTCTAAAGGAAATCAAAACCTTTAATCCTGATTTCAAACTAATAGGAACCCTTTTCTGGTTTATATTATTATTTAAAACAACTTATTAATAGAAAGGAGCAATAATAATCGTTTTTGCAACAAAACAAGAAACAGAATTAACTATTCGCAAACAACTATATATTACAAAAGTTAATACAAAAGTTGAGAAGTTCTACAAATCTAAATCTAATATACAATATCAAAAATACTAAGGTTTTGGATATCAGAATATATATTGCAAAAGAGATCTCTTATATAGACTATATAAAAACAAATATATTATAACAGAATATCTTTATATAGTATATATTACCAAAGGAAAATATTATCAATATCTTGCTTTTAAATACTCCAATTGTAAAAGAGATTATATAACAGATTCCAAAATCTGTGAAGTCTATCAAGCAATTCTACAAAAATTGTATAACATTAATCAATGAGTTATATCAATATATGAATCCTTCAAATAAATCTTAATAAAAGTTCATAAACTATAGAAAGCGTTTTATAACTTGTAATTGAGCTTAATATCAATCTTATTATTATTCAAGAACCTTGGATTATTAAAAATTGAATTGATTATTCAACTATAAGATCCATTTCCTATTTCAATTATACTCAACTATTTCCAAGATTCAATCCGAATACTCGGCTACACACTTTATTATATATATCAAAATCATTACAATTTATAATCAGCCTAGTCATTAACTCGCCTATAGACTCAAATATACAGATACTCAATATTCAGAATGAAGATAAAGTATTCCAAATCTTCAATATCTATAATGAAACAGATCAAACAAAAGAAAAAGGTTATATAATCGAAAGATATCTATTCTATATATTTATTATATACGAAACAATCCTTTTAAGCAACTTTAATATCTATTACCTTTGGTAAGATCCTTTTTCAAATAAAAGCGGAAATATTGATTGTCTTATCGAATGGTTTGAAGATAAAGATCTTATGCTTTTGAATAAGCCTGGAACTAATATATATTATTATATCAATCAAATCAAGTCAAATATTCTAGATCTTATTTTTGTTACAAAAGGAATCTCAACTCAAATCCGAAATTGGCAAATATTTATTGATATAAAATCTAATCATTTAGGGATTTTATTCGAATTGAAAGGAAAAGAAATACAAAATATATTTAATATAATATTATTGATTAAATATAACG